AGGCGCTAGAGGGTGTTGTTTAACGAAAATAAGTAAAAAATTGCTGTAGTGAACAATTAAATGTAAAAGAAGGCCCAGAACCGCAAAAGAGGTAAGAAACTCCCTCCCCCAGTCCAAAAAACGTTTTCTAAGCAGAAGGGTGGGTTGTAGTCGCGGTGTTTCACCGTTCCATCCCTTTCCCCGTGTCTATGGAGCAAATTTTAAGGACGACGGGCTTTGCGGGCCGAAGGCCCGTTACATCATTTGATTATGTTCTACAGCAAATCGTTTGATAGTTATGGTTGGGCCGCAGGCCCGACCATCGCCGCCGGCAGGCCAAGCAGGCCCGGCCCCTGCCGAACGGAGTTGCCAGCGCGGCGAAGCGAAGCTGGCAACTTTGTTTGGCGGAAGGGCGGGCCTGCTTGTTTCTTGGTTTTCTGATTTTTTACGATTTTTTCCCGCCGATTTTGGAGAAAATTGGCGAAATCCGGCCAGAATCGGTCAAAATCGGTCAAAATCAGGATCTCTCCAAAATCGGCGTGGAAAATCGGAAAAAATCGGAACAAAATCGGGAAAAATCAGAAAAAATCAAGAAAAAATAAAGGAAAATAAGAAAAAATTGAAATCGTAGTCAGGACCTTGGACAATGGGTAGGTACGCCTTGTGCTCGCGATACGCACATGCACATACCAATTTTTACGGATTCTTACCGATTTTTACCGATTTTTGCCGATTTTCACTGAAATTTACGGATTTTTACCGATTTTGACCAACTCCTACCGATTTTTACAAAAATTGGAGAAAATTGGAGAAAGTCGGAGTAAATCAGAGAAGCCCAAAATCATAGCAGTCATCGCCTCGTGTACATATTTTACTCTTTGGAGGGTCAAAAGTGCCCTACAAAGGACTGTGCAACTTTTACCCGCCGCTGTGCATTTATTAGCCACGTGGAGGGTAAAAAATGCACAGTGTTTTTCCCTTATTGTCGCTAAAGTATAGACTTCTTTGGCGATATTACACTTCCAAATTGTGCTTTGACTGTTTCTTCACCTTTCTGAACACGCGACAACTTCACATGCACCATAGTATAGCTCTAAACGAGAAAGATTTGTTTTCGTGCATTTATTACCCGACCTGACCCTACTTTAGTTCTGACTCAAGATGCACAAGGTGAACAAATGACGATTTTTTGAGTGGGGAAAGTTAGAGAACTCATTTAAAATACAACACATTTTATTTTATCCAACACACGTTGTGATGTTTAAACAAAGCTTGTTTTAATTAATAACACTCACTATTGGGTTACAAAAAGAGATGAGTGAGACACTTATGTTCTGAGCTCAGATTTAAAAAGCAAACATTTGACGATTCTTTCACGGGGTAAAATATAGGCCAGTTTGAGCCATACAAAATAATCATAATCCAAGTCATTGATACTCATTCAGGCTGTAAGCCTGGCACTGCACCCTCAAGCGTGGCCACACAGAGGTGGAGGTGTGCTCGACCTGGACCTGGTGGCCTTAGGGTCGATGCGGCACAGCGGCGCGGCGGCGGCTGGAGGAGATGGCCGTGGACCTGGCGGCGGCGCGGCGGAGGCTCGCCGTGGACCTGGTCGAGGTCGTGGAGTTGCTGCCGCGCTGCACGGCTGCGGAGGATGGACATGGACCTGGCGGCGACGGGTCTGCAGAGGCTAGAGGCCCTGGACCTGGACCGCCGCCGTCCTGATGACATACACACACACACGCGCGCGCGCGCGCTCACACACACACACGTCTAGGAGAACGCCGTCGTGGTGGAGGTCGTCGACATGCACACGGCCAGGTGCCGCGTGCTGCTGCGCTCTGGCGGCGTTTTGCGGAACTATGGCCGTAACCGGCAGTCTATTCGAGTCGAGCTGCTGCGCCCAGCCGGGGCAGGCAGTGAGTCGGAGCAGCACCGTCCGCTGCTGCGCTCTCACGGCGTCTAGCGAAACCACATCGGTAACTTTGCGATTAGAGCGGCGTGCCACAAGTAACAGGCAGCCAAGTGACGAGCCGAGTCGCGCACGCCCTACCGGGCCAGCCGGGCGGAGCCGAGCCCCGGCTCGAAGGTCGACCCGCCGATGCGGGAATACGAGGATATCTCGGCCTCCACGAGCCCTGCTCAAGATATGTTTGACATTGATTTTTACTTGAACGGTTCTGCTCTGATCAAACTGGAAACTAAGGTGGAAAAGGTGGAACTTAGTAAGGGAGTGAACGAGGAGGAGAAAGATGGAGAGGAGTAATCACCTGGAGACAATGTGCCATATTGTATCCCTGGACAAAATGTACCGTGTTTGTATTCCTAAAACTTTCTAGTTTTTTTTCCATTCTCCAGCCTCCTGGATAATCCACTTTGTTGTTTGTTTCCTTAAGCGCCCCTGTTGGCTTGGATAGTTTTTGTTTTTAGTTTTTTTTGACTTCAGACATCGTTGTTTTGATATCAGATCTCTTGAGCAGAAATCTAGTTTGTGCCTCAAAGAGTTTTTTCTAAACTTGTTATTAGTCGCTCCTCCACCTTTTGTTTTGAAATTGGAGGTACCCTGCTTTTTGAAATGTATAATTGTTCACTCTACAGTCCCTGCAGCTCCTAATTTTGTATTGGAGTTAAAAAAGTACTTTGCTCTTGTTCTTAAATAAATAAAACCCAATGCTAAACTCTATCTCTTTTCTTACTCAAAAATTTCAAACGAAAAAAAAAACTGAAAAATTTGAATTTTGGAAAGAGGAAAGAGAGAGGATTTCGAACTATTATTGCAATATTAATTAAAAGTTTTCCTTTTTCAATAATACAGTCCTAAATTTTTGGATATTTTGCACCTTGAGACCTGAAATTGCACTAAGAAATAGAAAATTGGCCTTAATTACTTTAAAAACAAACTTTACTAACTCTACCACACTTTACCGTACTATACCGTACTTTACGTAAAGTAAAGTCATCTTTTAACTTTACCGGTATTTTTAAAACACTACAATAGAGTCATTACCAATATCAAAGAATTTCTTCAAGTAATAAATTGAAGACCACACCACTAGTATGCCCAAATGCCATAGAAAGACACATCAGAAGGGCATCACCCCCTGTTGTTGTTGTACAACGACACAAAGTGTTATCTAAATTGTGATCCCGTACATTTTCATTTCTTCCTTGAGGGAATGGCCTCTCTTCTCTATCTAATTCTTGCCTGTCATCTTCTGCTCTGTCTAATTCTTCTTTAATCCCTAGTTCATCTTGATTTTTTAAACACACTGAATACTCTGCATCATTTGACTGGTCTGAATTTCCTGTGTCACTTAAACTGCTGCCTTGGTTTGGACTCTGTGCACATCCCTGGACATAGAAAAACCTACTGACATAAACAACAAATATGTACTGTAACTTTGTTTTAAATGATATTAACGTTGTGATGTGATTCATACCTCACCCATGGAATCTGCACTTTCACCTCCGGGAGATTGGGAATTGTTATCTCACGAACTTTTAACTGTGTCCATTTCCTCATTATCAGCCTTTTCATGATTATTTTGAACCTCAGGCTCACTGTCACTGCTCTCAATCTAAAACAAATATTTGTAATATTTTAGAACAAGTCAAAGTGTAGGTTAGGAGTCAACTTATAATGCTGGAATTACCAGTTCAGCTCTTTGCTGTTCAATTCGTCTGCGGTAAGCAGTGCGTCGAGGTACGGGGACATTGTCCTTGTACAGGTATTGCCGATACGGCATCTCAAAGTTTCAATAAGAGGTTGTCCTGCATTTTTTATTTTTATTTATCATCCACGAACAAGAAGAGAGCCATATGACAACAAAGCAGCCATGAATATACGAAAGGAAACTGTTGTATTTAGTGCTACCAACCAAACACACTCTTTAAAAACATTTTAACACTCAAATATTACACCAACCATCGCGTAGATCGATACCGTTAATAATTTTTACAAAATAACATTATCGATCAGGGTTCCCTGTATGTGAAGTTTTACGACTTTGCATCTGGGACTGTTGTTGCCAATGTTGGAGGTGCTATCTTTCTCTGCAAGGAGTATAAACAACAAGCAGGCCCGCCCTTCCGCCAAACGAAGTTGCCAGTTCCGCTTCG